TTCATTCAATAATCAAAATAAGTATAAAAATTAAACCAGAAAAAAATATTTACACACACACACACACATTTATATAGATCTAGATCCACTTTCAGATATAATTTCAGTAGCCACTTACAATGCGATCTTCACTGTAAACCTGCTGCAATTGCTTTACAATTTCTTGAGTACCATCAGGACTCCCATCATCCACAACAATTATCTCAAAATCAACATCCCTATACCAAGAAGAAATACTAGTCTGCGTCACTATCACATAGATACATATATATAGTATACCTGTGCAGAGTCTAAACTTCTAGGGTGACCAAGCAACAAAGTGAATATCACCATCCCTAAATTCTAAATTTGTTTATTTCTCATTATCTTTTTTATAATCATACTGGATACTTTGTTGGACAAAGATGGCGATGGGTGTCATTACGCCCTCTGTCTGAAAACGAAACACCATGTACCCCAGCTCCAGCCGACCCTCCAGTCCCACCACCACACACAATGAAAAAGAGCAGCAAGATTTTGGCGATAATTTTGACGTAAATTTCAAAGTTTACGCAAATTCGAAGCATTTGACGCAGAGCCGCATAATTTTTTACGATCGCAACAACAATGATCGGATTAATCGTTTAGATGCAATGGAAACCCAAAATTGAGGGCAAAACAACGGGCAAACAAACAATAACGAGAGATCAAGCGGTAAATACTGAAAATTGAAGGGCATACTTGAGATGCTTGAAAAGGAGGTAGATGATGAGTGCAATATTGAGACGCTCGTTGTAGGTAGGAACAATTATACTGTACTTGTTGATCTCCTTTCCCTGCTTCTCTTCCTCCATTGTTGCTTTAAGCCCTTCCTCCGTACCTCTGAATATTCCAAGTCTTTGAATCGAATTGAAGGAGCTTTCCTTTCGTTGAGACCAAAACCTTAACCGAGTTTCGGTTGTTCACGTTCTTTGGGGGGGCATCAAACCCCCTATTTGCGTTCTCAATACGCTTTGGGCTTGCCTGTTTGTCGGGCCTGCTAAGGCTTTTCACAATACAAATTCTGAAAATTGAACACGAAAACTTTAAGAAAACGGAAGAATCTTTAGTCAAACATAAATATTATAACAAACAGATTTTGATTGGTTTACAGTTTTTGAAGGTCTCTCTAAGTTTCATCAAGATTTCATGTGCTTTCATTTATATTCATATTTTTTTTTGTTTTACAAATATTAATTTAAATATTTGTTTCAGAAGTTAATTTCTTTAAAATTGAGAAGTTTAATCAAGAGTTATTTAAATATTAATTTAATCAAGAATCCGCAATACAGGATTGATGCCCTTAAATCTCAACAAGATTTATTGTCTATTGCAGCTGTGGTCTCAGCCAAAATATGATACACAGTCAGAGTTGTAGATTACGATAGTCTTCTCTACAAAACTTAAAAGTTATATAGAAAATCTCGGAATACATATTTCTAGTCACTTAATTGCAAAATTAAACACTTAAAACAACTAGTCGGATTTGTACCGTTGCGCAGAAGATTCATAATTGGGTTTGTGTCTTCGGTTGGGTTTTTAGAGCCTCTACTTTGTGTGTACCACCAATATCTGCATCTTCCTCAGAAGACATCGTCTGCTTTGCTACCTCGGAAATCAGGATGTTCCCCAGGAGCTGATTCTTCAACATCCTCCTGCTCAACTACAGCATCTCCAGCTGCTATCTTATCAGCACTGATCAAAGCTGGGTTACTGTTTTCTACCTGATTTTCTTCCACTCTGTAATAGACCTGCATAAAAGAAATTTTGTAACATAGCCATTCATATTCCAAACATTGAATATCATCCCAACCACTGGCTGTAGTACATAATTTGCATGCTATAGAGGAATTGAGACGAGATTTTGAGGAAAAACAGGTATTTTATGACATTCTACGGTGTAACATAAAATGCTCTAGAGAAAGGTATATACCACACATGTGCGAGGCGGTGAGAGCACTTTGAAGGAGTGAGGACGGTTGTTGAAATTTGTTTCAGGCACTCCTGGTATTCCTTCAGGAGATGTGAAATGGTCTACATCATGGCCCACCTGCAAGGGAGAAACAACAAATGAAAACATGACATTAAGAGAGAAAATATAAATAACAAATGGATATGCATGTTCATCATATTATTTCTCAAATGTTTACCGACAAAACTCAACTTGGTATGATTTTGACAACAAAACTAGCTAGAGAATGTTGGCATATCTTTGCTTCATTCTGTTATGAATGCATTGGGATTTTTTAAGAAATAACAAATTAGAAAGCAAGTTATTTGTCATTAAATATCAGGTTATATTGCAAGAAATCTAGTAGAAACTATAGGAAAATGGCCCCCAATACAGGTCAAATTACATCGTCCTTTAATAAGTTTCTTTCCAATATCCAAAAGCCATAGTAGAAGCACAAGGGTTGCCTTACTCTTCCATGTCCACCAAATTCCCAAGCATCGCTATCCAGTGCCACTCTGTACTTCCCTGGTAAGTCACACCCAACTTTGTACCTGAAAATTTCAGATAATAGTAGCCATTGGAAGAAAGCTATTTTATCTTTAAGTCTAGAACAAATGAATTTTAGAAGAAAGAAGTGACAAATTCATTTATAAACCTACATTGTTATGTCTAGAATGTTTATAAGACATGAATTTACAAATGAATTCCGCACTTTTTTGTAAAGTTCTTTTATTCTAAACATAATCTTAATTCCAAAATACAGATGTCATCCAAACCATTCAAAACCAAGTAGCATACTTTCTGCTCCTTATGCCGCCAATGGTATCAAATTCACATATGAAGAACTTAGAGGCCTTGTCCATACCCATCATATGAATTGTCTGGATGAAAATTGAATACAAAAACCAGATCTCCACGCTCAAAGACAATCACCTGGGATGCGAAAGCACTTAATCAACAGTCCAATTTCTTTAAAAAATCATATTAAACATCAAGTTAAATTGATGCAAAATGAAGGATAAACTTGTCCTAGTATCAGTTCGTATCAGATTCCAACTTTTTATCCCTACCTTCTGCTACTTCTATACTGTATAAAGAAACCAAAAAAAAGAAAAAAAAAAAAAAAGAGAAAAGGAATGTAAGTCCAGCAAAAGAAAAAGAAAGTTTCTATCTTGAAAAAAAAAAAGTCATGAATCCTGCTCTATTCAGATCGCCAGCAACTGCCATACAGTGGCTTACACCGCCCCTACAATCCAAATGATCATGAACATCCATTGCTAGACAAGCCTTCCATGAGAAGGTTGACCCTCTCTAGTGACTGCAGAAACACACATGACCTCATGCACCCCTGACTGTGAGAAGGCAACCATTTCTGTTTGCTTTATTTTGGCAGTTCAGCGCCTTTCAGACTGGTTCTTGACCAGTTCAGACCAATTCCTAAAATTTTCCAGCATGCTTTCCCCCTTTTAGATTTACCTTTCTATAGTTTTCTTTATTAATTGTAACTAATACTTACAGGAAGCCTAATAGCTACCAACAAAAAAGAGAGACAACAATTAATTAAAAATTTCTGTGAGGGTTTTGTTTACTGTTATCTCTCTCTTTGTTTATTCTTCTGTTATTATTCTATATAACCTATCTCATGCTTCCTGTATTTCTTCACCTTAGTCTCTAATTTTCTTTAGTCTCTTTTCATTCTTTTGTTTTTTAATCTAATTTTTTTGTCATGCATCACATATGAACAAAAAAGGATGGGAAGATGACATAAAAGGAGGGGGATGGTGAGCTAACCCATTATACAGCTCACAATAGGTACCCAAAAGGTAAACTACTGAAAGGTGAAAAGAGAAAAAACAACAGAAAATTTGCAACGTAATCTGACTTCTATGAGAAATATGGATCTCCACTTGTTTCCCGTTCTATGATATAAATAATGTGTTGGATGGAGAGATGTTAAAGGTTCATCCGTACCTTGTCTTCTTCATTTGTGCTGCTGACAATCTGCTTTGTGGATGAAAGAAATGGATACTTATCATCAAGCAAGTTCATAGCTCGGTCAAATGCATTCAAGAACTGGGCAAGTACAAAAAGCAGAGAGAAAAATCAAATATAAATTAACAAATTGCTGCTCAAACTTGGATACAAGTGTCCAATAAGGGAATGGATCTAATAGGCTATTTGGTTCGTTTTCATTTCAATTCCTAATGAATTCCAAAATCTAATTTTGAGTGGTTATATGCATAATTATATCTTAATTTTGTTTAACTTATCCCAACCTCACCTGGAATTTCTTGGAAGTGGGAAGTGAATCCCACCCAAAAGAAATTTAAGGTGACAGGGGAGGTAAATCAACCACAAAAAAATCATAAAGTAATCAACACTACAAAAATTAGAACCAGAAATAATTTAGGAAGCGAACAGGAAGCTAAACAAATTGGACATAAGTGCTTGACTAAATAATTTTTATAGTAAAAAATATGAAGAGACTAACATTCATTTAAAAAAATAATAAAATAAAATATAAGCCTAAAGGAAGCTAAGAAATTATCATATATGAAAAAAAAAACAACCTTTACCACAAAAAGAAAATTGGAGTTTCATATTTGTAGTGAAAATGGAAAAAAAAGTTGGATACTAATTATTTGTATATAAATAATTGATAGACCATTACTTCTTAAAAAAAATTAGACATTCAAGAACCGATCATCTCATCTCTACGTTGTTTGTAACCTTCTAACCTCCAGATCTCATTTGTATATTTTCTATTCAATTTGTAGTCAATTCTTAATTCTAAACTTCATATTAGCTTAATTAGGATACGATTTGTTTTGTTTGAAGTATCTTCATACCTACCTTTAAATTCTTTGAAAGTGGAAATTCAATTCTCACATCTAATATAAACCTTAAATTTTAAAGTTTTCATTATCATCTTTGTCTTATCATATATCATAACCTCTTTTTTGACTCGTTAAGAATCTGAAACGTACATCAAGTGTCAGATATAGATACCACACCATACCAGTGTTGTGGCATTCAAAAGTGAGTCTGGGGACTAAAATTGAAGTGTCCCAGCAACAAAATTTAAACACAACTCAACCAGCAAAGCACCATGTGAGGATTGATAAAGAAAGTTTTATGTCCAGGTTTCCAATGATCTTTGCTATTGCACTAAAAAAGAATATATTAGTTAACGAGGCATATAATAGCAGGGTGTGGGCTGTGGATGTGTCAAGAAACCTGCAGGATTGGGAAGTAAATGAATATGAAGATCTCCTACAGCTTCTAGCCAATGTCCGCCTCAACAACAATTCAGACAAGCTCATCTGGGACTTAAAGAAAAATGGAAAGTTCTCTGTTAATTCTTTCTATAAGCATTTGGCAGGACACAACAAGAATGGATCATTCATTTTTCCGACTAAAATGGTATGGAAGTCTAAAGCACCACCTTGTATTTCTTTCTTTGCCTGGGAAGCGGTCAAGGAGCATATTCTGACTATAGACAGCTTGATAAAAAGGAGGAAGATTATAGTCAACAGATGCTTCTTGTGTAAATGTGACACCGAGACAAGCAATCACATTCTGCTTTGGTGTCCATTTACTTACAGCCTTTGGCGCTTAGTCTATGGCCTTATGGGTATCAACTGGATCATGGTGGGGTCAGTGAGGAATGAGTTGTTGACTTGGAGGGATTTTGTAAGGATAAGGGCATTTATCATCTCATTCCCTTGGCCATCTTGTGGGGTACTTGGAAAGAGAGACACACTAGGACTTTTGAAGGAAAGAAAGAACTTTTTCTCAACTTTAGAGATAGATAGTTACATTATTTTAGTTCCATGGTTTTGGGGCATGATCTTTGTAGTATTGGTAATTTTGGAATCATTGTAGATATACTCACTTATAAATCTTTTGTAGATGAATGGCACCCCTTCGATGCCTTTACTTAATACACTTTTCACACTCTTTATTTCAAAAAAAAAAATTAAACACAAAAAGGAAATAAATACAAACTTTTATTTTTTAGGTGCTCTATTCAGTTTAGATAGGCTGCATCTTTTCCCATTTTTTAGATGCTTTACTATCATCTCATGTCATAACTAAACAATATAGATAACTATTCTGCTCTTCAGTTTCCGTTCTGTTTCTTTTTGTTTTTAGCCGTTAGAACCCGACAGTTAAATTCCATTTCAATACTTTAATATCCTATGTGTAACCAGATAGTCCAGGACATTTATGTGGAAGAAAATCAGGCCCTCTTTAGTTATAGAAAATTGTTTTGAGTTTTCATTTTGTAACTTACATATATATACATAAACACATGCATAGTTGATAAAAAATGAAAAGAAGCCTTGGCAAGTTATTGTGAAAATATGACAAGAGTTTAGAGACTGTTTATCATTTTTTCTACACTTACTCCATAATTTTACAATCATTTTCTAAATTTTTTGAAATGGTAGTGCAAGTATGTCATGTTGCATGCAAAATTCCTTCCCACAAGTAAACAAGGCCTTAATGTTTAAAGCTCGTCTCCTTAACAAAAAATTCCTACCAAGTGAAATCATGCACAGAGGATATCAATGTAGGTGGAAAATGTGGCCCTAACCTTGTATCTCAAGTGATTAGTATCAATAAGATTCCATTGTCTTCTACATTTTTCATAACTCCAACCATTGCCTTCTCTTGGGAAATCGATCCACTCAGGATGGCCAAACTATGAGAAAAACAAACAACAAAATTTACTAAAGAACCAAGAAATTAACAGAATTCATACAAGAAAAGAGAGCAGACCCTCCTACGGAGAACTTTCAACCAGTTCCCCACAATTTTTGACCCCAAATACTTAAATGTTCAACAAAACTTACGAGAACGTATTTATCTATTTAGGAGTTGACTTATAAATCGTTAACAACATTTTATGGTTTCTGTGCAGGCATATTTTGTCTCTGATCAATCAAATTTGAGCAAAAAAAAATTGATCAGGCTGATCTCAACAAATAAATACAATTCTTTTGAAGAAAGATGGCTGTCCAAATTAAAAAGATAATGCGAATCTTCTTTCGTAGACTTCTTAAGGAAAGTGATCATTGCAGTAAATCTTAGAGTGTGAGCTGGGAGCATGGATCGCCTTACCTCATTTCCCATAAAATTAAGGTACCCTTCACCTCCTAATGCCATAGTTATAAAATGTACCATCTGCCATAAATAATGAGAAAAATAAGGTGTCCAATAATATAATAAAAGTGGGAATTCTGTTCTAAATCTATTTTGATCAATACTCTCTGAATTTGTAATTCCAATTTAGCAAAGTAGAAATAAAAACTTTTCACCATGAAATTTAATTTATAAGTGAAATTGTTTCAAAAGTGAGCCAAAGAGCCATTTGGTATGATTTCTTTTTTTTATTACTGGGAGAGTTTAATAAACTCATGAAACTTCTATTGGAAAATAAGTTAAAGAGTTTGGATAGTATATCCCTTGTTTAGTTTATAGTTTCCACATAAATGGTGAATGTTTAGTAAAAAATTACTTATAAGTTAAAACTTAAAATTAGCAAAATTACTAAAAAAAAGTGATAAATAAAGAGTTTTTGGTTAAAAGCATGAAAAACAGAATTGACTTTCTTGAATGAATATAAGCTGAGAAAAAATAGTATTTCTATGGCTCATTTTTCAGCTTACAAGCCATTGGCTTATAAGTTAAAATGATCAAAATAAATACCACCTTGGCTTTTTATTTGTCAAATGAGTTCATAAGCTGATTTAAATCAGAAGAAAATTCAAACCAAATACTTTTCATGTAAGAAAACTATGAACCAATTCTAGTCATCAGATAGTCTAGGTCATAGAATAAAATAAGGATTGAACTAAAATTGGTCATAAAAACTTAGGTAAGAGCTGAATCCAACCAACAGGCTGCTGAAAAGAGCTGTGTTTTAGTGTCCTAAGAATTAATTAAGTTTTTTCCTTGACAACTTCTCATAAGTGGCAAGTCCAATGATATTCTGACCACCAAAGAGTTGGGCAGTTGAATTATTACAGAAACCATAAATCTAGGAAAGCAGAATTTATAATCAGTAAACAACAACCTTGTGAAGTGCGATCCCTCGTTCGATAGTAGGAGAAGCATCTGCTAAACAAGACATACCAGAGTACATTTCTTTGTCCATTAAAAGAAATGAAATAGTCTTATCACCGACAATGGCCTGCCAACAAAGAATTGGTTAGAAAGGTCAAACAGGTTAACTATTAAACGAACACATAACTAATGCATTTAACTCTGTTATATCAATAGGAGATTGACCATAATAGAGTTTTTATTGCCGTCACTTTTTGTTTTATTCATCAAGAAAGCAGGTTGTAGGTTCTAGTTTGAGACATTCCCATTAAAGCATACCTGATCATGACTCTCGGCATAAGATATACACTTTTCAGTGTATCTCCTATTTGTCAAGTTCCATGATATGTCATTCATTGACCATTCTTCATCATTCTTATTCTTCAAGTAATCAATCCATTTGTCAGGAATGGCCATGGCCAGACGGTAATCAAAGCCAACACCCCCCTCTGAGACAGGTCGACTAAGTCCTGGCATGCCTGAGACATCTTCAGCAATTACAGTTGCATCCGGTAAGATACTGTGTATCAGAGAATTGGCCAACATCAAATAAACAATAGCATCAACATCTGTCGCCTCACTGAAGTACTCGTCATAATTCCCTGTAAATGTCACGTTGATCCCGTGATGATGATACAACATTGATGTAACTCCATCAAATCGGAATCCATCAAATTTAAACTCCTCGAGCCACCACCTTAAGTTGGATAGAAGGAAGCGAAGCACTTCCCAGTTAGCATAGTTAAAGAGTCTACTATCCCATAATTTATGATAACCTCGATCTCCAGTGTGGAAATAAGAATCCTGTGAACTTTGGCCAACATCATAGCCATTAAGACCATCAGTGACATTGTTACTTGCATGACTGTGGACAACATCTATCAAGACTTGCAGACCTAAGCTATGTGCTTTATCAATCAAATACTTAAGGTCCTCCGGGGTTCCAG